AGACATATTAGGGAATGAAACAAGTAGTAAGTAGGAGAATTAGGTAGGTTGCAAGTTCTGAGTAATTATAACCTCCTGGATTTACGGCCATATTCTTCTCTGCGATGCAATCAGAATTTCTTCTTCCGCTTGTTCTTGCTCTTGCTTTTCTTCTTCTTTTTCTTATCCAGGAAATCATCAAAATCTTCAGGGTACCACGTATCATCCATCCCATCCAGAATTTTAGAACTAACCATAAAACACAGATACGGATCCACAGTAGCATATTTAATCTTCTCAGGATTCATAGGATCTCTCCACCAACGAGCCTCCCGGGGGAACCACGCTATAGGCTTTTCAGGCCTGATCACGTCCCAGTATTTTCCCAGAACAGTCATGGATAGACGATTAAGGTCATAATGGCGTAGATCCAAATCATGCCTCTGCAAACCTAGCTCAGCTAAAATATTGATGTCGACAGGGTTAGTAAACTTGATATCAAAGTCAGCATCAAGCCTGTGCATAATACGACGCATTTTCATTCCAATAACCATAACCTTAGGATCAGCGAAGAAGTCTTTCATAGCCTTGGGAATAGGATCATCGTCGTACTTAGGGAAAGGAAGGCGGTAGAGTAAGCAGTGAGAACCTGTGCAAACCTGAAGGAGGTCGTAGGGATAGTCCTCGCTATCTTTAATCTCCCAGTGCTGCCCACTCATATCGGGATCGCGCTCCACACAGATTGTGACGAAAATAAAACCATGTTTGCTATTGGGAGCCGTATTCTGAACCTCCTTGATCCATTTGGCCACCGTCTTGTAGTTTCCGGTGACAACAGTGAGGATACGATGTTCATCGACGTACACATTGTATGGATCGTAAATCCACCTTGATTCATTGTACTTGAAGTCCTTCTCTCTTCTCCTGTTTTCCTTCTTCAGGTTGACGATAGAGATTTGCAGAACCATTTTTGAGAAAAGCTTGCTCTGCAAGAAAAATGTACAGAGGGAGTAGTGGAGAAGAGTGGCGACTGATCGAGCGAGTATAAACAGCTATCAACTCTGGCTACTTATATAGCTGTTTCAGAGGGGCAATTTCGGGACGTTCTCAAAATTTTATTACTTGAGCGATACTCTCAAATTTAATTACTACTAATTTTATTTTATGTATATATTGATTGTGTAAGAAAGTTTAACCATATTAATGCAAGTTACTAGACGTAGCAGTTTTGTTAGTTAATATGAAAGTTACGTCACTTATAATATGTTAATTGTTATACCTTATAATACTTGTTATGAAAGTTGAAAAGTTATTCATGGTTGGAATTTGGAACTTACTAGATCATGTCAACTTAATTTCAACAGTGTAAAAAATCTATAATTAGTGCAGGAAATTTAGCAACCTAAACAAAATTTTTAATATTATTTTTATGAATCTTGTTTTAATATGTGAAGCTAATACACATAAAAAAAATTTGATTAGTTGAGATTTAATTTTTCTAAGAAATAAAAACCCAGTGCATATATTTCTTTTTAGATACTATTTGTGATGAAAAATAATTAGTGTTAGGTGATTCTAATATAATTAAGCGTGTCTTTTTAAACCTGTCTTTCCAAATATTACTGTCCGATACTCAATTTTATTTTAAAATGATAATATCGAATTTAACTAGTTAATATTAATTAAAAAAAAGAGAGAAGAGTTAAACAAAATTTTTAAGTACTACTATATAGGATCCGAAATAAAGGAAGTTCACTTAAGCTATTGTATTTTTTCTTCATCAAAGGTAAATAGGTTATTTTTGTTTGACATATAAAAATAAGTATAAAGTAAATTTGTGATTAATAAAGACGAAATAATAGTATAAAAAAAAAACCATAAAAAACCTCAAAAAATATTAAAAATTATAATAAATAAATATAAAGCAAATCTGCGGCCAATGAAGACGAAATGATAGTGTCAAAAAGTACCATAATTAATGTAAATAAAACCTCAAATAATATTAAAGATTAAAATAGTAAGAACATAATAATAACATTTATATTAAAAATAAAACTATATCATATTCAACTTATTAATTTTCTATGATAATTCTTGACCTTTATATTTTTTTATCAAGCCTACTTAATATCATGCCTTTGATAATTTGCAAATGAATTACTAATATGTCTTATTAAATTACATATTCGCAAAATTATTTCAATCTATCTCCTTTTCTTTAACGTTTTTTTTAATTAAAAATATTGATACAAAGCTGTCCAAGTGAAAAAGGTAGAATTGATTACTTTATAACTAAACTATGAAAATTATATTTATATATATATATATATATAAATTAAATTAATGTTACAGCAATTTTATAATCATTACACAACTTAATTTGAAAGAAAAAATTAATGTTTTAAATGCTCATAGAGGAAAGATATATTTTCTTTTGATAATTTCTTTAATAGAAAAATAAAAAAATTATAAAAAATAGATAAATAATAATAGTGACCATTGAGGCACGAGCGAACAACTCTTCAAAGAGATGATGCATAATACTTTCAAAAAGAAAAGAAGCGTCACATTTTGTGAAACGAAAGAAGAAAATATCCGATTGACTAAAAATAATTAATTAAATAAAAAAATTGAATCCGGTGGTGGCCCAAATCACACATCCAGTGGCGTGGCTGCCTATCTTTTCGTCCTTCGCTCTCCGCCAAATGTCTGCAATCACCGCCATTCCTGCTTCAACTACCATGTCCGCCACTGCAACTTCTGCTTCCGCCTCCTCCTCCGCTCACATACTCAGACTCAATCACAAGCAGCTCATTTTTTCGCTTCATGGCAGAAGAAAGTCAATTAGTGCATCCTCCTCCTCCTTCTTCAGCACATACCGGTTCAACTCCAGCATTTCTAGATCCTCCCGGAGGATCTCTTATCCTTCTTCCATCAGGATTAGACCGCTATCTCCTGTCATGGAATGGCAAGATGTCACGTACGTTAGCATCTTCTTTTATATGCAATTACTTGTTTACCGCTGAGTTCTTTTGTTTGATTTTGTGATTTACTTGCCAAATATGTGTTTATTGAGTCCTATTTGTATTCTAATTGTGAGAATCTTCGATTTTTGATGAATTCAGAGTTAAAATGGAAGTAGATGTGCCCATTTCAGTTGCTTATAAGTGCTATTCTGATCGTGAGGCCATTCCTGAATGGATGCCTTTTATTTCAACTGTAAAGGTATGTGATGCCATGTTATCTGCGCGTTTGAGCTTTTAAGCTTTCAAATGTTCTCAATTATAAGTATTACCTTTTCTTTGCACATAAACTGTTAAGATTGCACAACTGTTTGAATGGTCTGATTGACTGCTTCTTCGGAAGGATGCATCTCAGTATTACTCCATCGCTCATTTTATATGACCTTGTTGGACTGGATGCAAAATTTAAGTATCACTAGTAAACTAGTTGTCGGGGAAGAAAAAGTTAAACTAATGATCGGAAGTGTTTTAAGTGTACTGTTAGAAATGACTCTGCTAGAGAAAAATTTTAAGTCTAAAACAAATGAATTGACATTCTTGAATGTTATAGGGGAATGATGATACACATTTTGGGGACTTTTAAATGGGACGAGTTCCATATAGATTGAACGGAGGAAATACTATAGTTTCTCTTTACAATTTCCTCCCAGGATGATACCCTGCATCCTTAATTACTTCTTGGCTATCTCTTCATCAGTCTCATTCCATGCTTCACTTAATGAGTATCATTGGTGGATTTTTAATTTGCACTTTGTATATGAAGAAAGCACTCACCCAAAACAGTTGAAGTCGAATGCAGATGTATTGAGAATTAGGGGTCTAAATTCTAGTTCTTCGATGTATTGAGAATTAGGGGTCTAAATTCTAGTTCTTGATTATTTCAAACACCCATTACACAGCTCAGCTCATCTTCTGAATCTCATTCTAAGGGAACTTGATGTTAGACTCTCTTGCCAGATTTTGGAGGATAAGCCTGACCTATCAAGATGGTCACTGAAGTATAATGCTTTCGGGCAGAATATTGAATATTCATGGCTTGCTCGAAATATGCAGGTAAAATCTCCCTTCAGTAAGCTCTTCCCTGGTAATGTTCCTTTGTTCCTAAACATCAGTTGCTCAGTTTTTATTAATGTTTTACAGCCTACGCCAAACCAGAAGATCCACTGGAGATCTCTGGAGGGACTTCCCAACAGGTAATGTGCATATTAGTTTAGTTTTTGTTGATTCTAAATAGAACATATCACTGTGAACTGTATCATTATACTGCAAAGTCTTAAACAGTTATTTGAATTATAATGTTTTCTGATCAATTCTATATTTCTTTGAATGAAAGATCATTAATTCTCAGTATATTGAAACTGGTCATCAGTTTTATGATGATTCTCTTATTCAAATTGCAGGGGAGCTGTGCGATTTTTTCCCAAAGGCCCATCATCCTGTATCATAGAAGTGAGAACTTTACTTGAAGCCTGAAGGATAACTTGGTCCTTTTCCTTTAAACTTCGACTGATCTTTATTAAGCATTAATTTCTACAACAAATACTTATGGGATATCCATATAGAGGAAGAGGCAGAAAAATGTGTTGCACCTTTTGACAGAAATTGCTATATTGTTTTGGTCTTTGACTGCTTCAAAATTGACTAGTGCTTCTCCTTCTTTCAGCTAACAGTTTCATATGAAGTGCCTCAACTTTTGGTTCCAGTGGCATCAGTAAGCACTCTTAACTCCTATATTAGGAACTGTAGTTCACATTAGTTTTTAAATATATGCAATCCTCTCAACCTTGCTTGGGTATAAAATCATCTCAAGTAATGAGATTGCAGTTTTATTATGATAGCATAGTATAATGTTCAAGTTTCACTTTACAATACATTCACTTTTTTCATCTATTGTTCAGGCATTGAAACCATTTCTTGAAAACCTGCTGTCGCAAGGATTGGAACGCTTTGCAACATTTGCTAGGATCTACTCAGCTGACACACCTAAATGATGTATAAACTAAATTCATGCCATTAACATCCATTGGTTGTATAGCTTGCAATAATCTTCTGGTTGCAATCTATGGCTTGTCAGCTAGGGCAAGCAGTCTTAATTCTTATCATGGTCTTACTGATCATCTAGCTGCATGGTCATTCAGTTTATTGCTCGACTAAAATTGCAGACTTCTCCTCATTCATATAATATTGCAGTGCACTGAACTCAATAGGTAGCCAAGAAATCCTTCCTCACATGGATACAGAGACATCAATATTTTCTTTGACTGGGCAACTTCGTATGCTTAGGCCTTTACATAGGCGTTGTTCTGATTCCACTACTAGCATGCTTATAGTCGAGCGAGGTGCAAATATATAGGGCATAATAACTCATGAGCTCAAAGAGGAAGATTACATTGTCAATGTAAATTGTTATTACACATTGATTCTGCAGTGCGTCGTCCTAGTTAAAATCCATGTCGCTAGAACCATCAACAAGGAATAGGCCTGTTGCAATCTAGTTATTACAAGGAGCAAAAAGTACCAAATGTTCATTATGTACATTAATAAAATGAGTAACATGAGCACGGCCATATGCTACTCAAACTTTGAAGCCACATGATAGCATATTATTTATTGTTAGATTAGATTACCTTTGGAAGCAAGGGAATTAATAATATTGTTTTTCAGATATTTTTTTTATTTTTAAAGTGCATTTCTACAATAATCAATAGAGACAAGCTATCTTTTTATTCAGTTCTTTGATAAAAAATATATAACAAGACTAGAATATAAAAAACGTTGAATCCATGGTGGCCTAATTTCCATATGGCATGCCTATCTTTTCGTCCTCCACTCTCCTCCAAATGTCTGCAGCCGCCGTCGTACCTTCTCCAGTAACCATGTCCGGAGCTGCAACTTCTTCTTCTGCCTCCCACATACTCAAGCTAAATCACAATCATCAGCTCATTGTTTCGCTAAATGGCAGAAGAAAGTCAATTAATGCATCATCCTCCTCTTTTATCGGCGAATACCGACTCAACTGCAGCATCTCTAGATCCTCTCGAAGGATCTCTTATCCTTCTCCCATGAGGATCAGGCCGCTCTCTCTTGTCATGGAATGGCAAGATTGCACGTAAGTTAACATCTTCTTTTACATCTAATTACTTGTTTAGAGCTGTGATTTTGGTTTTACTTGCCAAATATGTGGTGGTTGGGTTCTATTTTGGTCTATTTGCAATCTAACTGTGAGAAATTTCGAATTATGATGAACTCAGGATCAAAAAGGAAGTAGATGTGCCCATTTCAGTTGCGTACAAGTGTTATTCTGATCGTGAGGCCATTCCTGAATGGATGCCTTTTATTTCAACTGTAAAGGTATGCAATGCCATGTTATCTCTGCATTTATGCTTACCCGAGGAGTCATTCCATATGTACTCAATTTTATTACCTTCTCTTTGCAATTAAACTATTAAGACTGCAAGACTGTTGGTTTAGATATGGTGTTATTGGCTGTTTTTCTTGATTGATGCATTTCAGTATTACTTCATTTGCTCATTTTATATGACCTTGTTTGACTGGATGCAAAATTTAAGTACCGGTAGCAAACTAGTAGTCGAGATAGAAAATATTAAGATTAATGAATGGAAATGTTAATAGGTTGAAGTCTAAAATTAAGTGAAATGAGTCAAAATTCTTGAATATCATTGGGAGAATGATTTACAAATATTGGTGACTTCTAAAATGGGAAGAGTGTCGTATAAATTTAATGGAGGAAATATTTCCTTCTCTCTTTACAATTTCTTCCCAGGATGTTATTAAGTATTTGCCCATATTGCTGGGTAGTATGCTGGTGTCTTGCATCCTGGATTACTTCTCTTTGTCATCTCGACTATCTATTGATCTGTCCCAATTCGTGCTTCACTTTGTGAGTATCACTGTTAGATTTTTGATTTGCATATTGGATATAAAGGAACCACTCACAAGAAACAATTGAAGTCGAATGCAGATGTATTGACAATTAAGGGTCTACGCCCTTGTTCTTGATTATTTCAGACATCCATTACACAGCTCATCTCACCAACTTAATTTCATTCCGAGGGAACTTGATGTTAGACTCTCTTGCCAGATTTTGGAGGATAAGCCTGACTTATCAAGATGGTCGCTGAAGTATCAAGCTTTCGGTCAGAACATTGAATATTCATGGCTCGCTCGAAATATGCAGGTAAAATGCCCCTTTAGTTAAGCACTTCCCTCATTATGTTTCTTTGATCCTAAACCTCAGCTTCTCAGTGTTTTAATCTGTTTTACAGCCTACGCCAAATCAGAAGATCCACTGGAGATCTCTGGAGGGACTTCCTAACAGGTAGTGTAAAACCTAGTTTCCTTTTGGTTAATACTAAACAGAACATATAACTGTGGACTGTATCATTGAACTGGAAGTCATAAAGAGTTTTTTCTTCCACCAGACAAATAGTCCATAGATAATAAAACCATGTTGCTTTGGGACTGGTGGCAGAATATTTCTGGTCTATATCTCAGTAAGACAGTTAGCAACAACAAAATAGCTTGAAACATAATGTTTTCTGATCAATCCTATGAACAAAAAAAACATTTATTCTCAGTATATTGGAACAAATCATCAGTTTTATGATGAATTCCTTATTCAAATTGCAGGGGAGCTGTGCGGTTTTTCCCCAAAGGCCCATCATCCTGCATCATAGAGGTGAGAATTTTACTTTTTGAAACATAACTTTGTCCTTTTCATTTAGACATCAACTATTGTTACAACAAATACTTATGGATGGGATAATCTTGGAAGATCCTATCCAGGAAGGGGTAAAAAACGTTTGCACCTTTTCTTCTCGTAGTTTCTTATCGGCAACCATACAATTGAGAATGTGTTGACAGAAATTGCTATATCCTTTTGGTCTTTGCGGCTCAAAATTGACTAGTGCTTCTCCTTTTTTTTTTCAGCTTACATTTTCGTATGAAGTGCCTCAACTGTTGGTTCCAGTGGCATCAGTAAGCACTCTTAACTCCTATATAATTCACAGTTGTTTTAAAATCGTAGGCATGAGATCTTTTCAAACAATGAGATTGCAGATTTATTATGATAGTAGAGACTCTGATTTTCAAGCTTCACTTTATAATATATTTTTTCACCTTTTCAAATATTATCCAGGCATTGAAACCATTTACTGAAAACCTGCTGACACAAGGGTTGGAACGATTTGCAACATTTGCTAAGAGTTACTCAGCTGACACACCTAAAGATGTATAAACTAAATTCATGCCAGTAACATCCATTGATCCTATATCATGCAAAAACCATCTAGCCGCAATCTATGGTTTGTCACTAGGATCGAGCAGTCTTAATTCTTATCATGGTCTTACAGATCATCTAGCTGCATGGTCATTCACTGTGTATCGCTCGAGTATAATTGGAGACTTCTAGTCTTGATTGCTCCCCATTCATATCGTATTGCAGTGCACTGAGCTAAATAGTCAGTTCAAAAAACCCTTCCTCACATCGATAAAGAGACGCCAGTATTTTCTTTGATTGGCAACTTCGACTGTGCTTCTGCATTATGCTCATCAATGGAAATTTTGCTTTCGTTATTATATGAACTGAAAATTACAAATGTACTATTCAGAGTATTCAAGATGTGTTAAAAAATCCTGAGAAACTTGTTTGACTAATCACCACAAAAAATTTGCAATAAAAACTCATGAATTGAAGTATCTCACTCCTTTAATGTTGACGGTAAAATACAGAAAAAAATATATTCTTTTCTTGATATGTTAAAAGTGACAAGTACACCCTATTAAGCTGATACACTCCTTAAAAACTATAAATATAAGAGTATTTTACTGTATCATCATTTGAATATAATAAATACAATATCTCGAAAGATATAATAGAGAAATGACTATAATTAAACATAAGATAAATTAAGAACTAAATGTAAAGTTATTTATGGATTTCATAGACTAAAAAATATTGTTAGACATCTATTTTTAGTATAGTGGACAAATATTGTTGGATGGAGGGAGTAAAGATTAAATCTATTCTAGAAATAAATGACAAATAAAAGTGAACGAAAAAAGCAATAAAGATAAAATGGTAAAGTAATTATGTCAATTATTAATTTTCTTAATAGATGTGTGAGGTAAAACATAGACAAGCAAAATAGGGGAGCATAATAATTTTGGAAGCGTCATCATAAAATAAAAATGCAACGTTTAATTCGAATTTAATTAGAACTTTATATGACGCATCCGAGAGGGATGAAGTCAGTATACTAATTACACCTTCGAGAGACCCCCAACAATAAGGTAGATAATTGTTGATTAGTCAAAGCCTACAAATTTAAGTGTTACTCATGATCATCTGGGTAAATGATTAAACCCTCACGTTATTCGATATTTTAAAATTAAAAACTTATCTTCATCTAGCTAGTTTAGGTATATAGAAAATCATCAGAAACAATTTTGTAATGTACTGAATACTTGTCTTTAATCTAATGAAGATAAATAATAATTTCTTTTAATGAAAAGATACCTTTAGTTATGTTGAGGATAGATATACTAATTAATTACATTAATATAGGGATGTACAAAATTGAACTGAAAATCGAATCAAATCGTAAACCGAAAAAATAAATCTAACTAGTGGTTTGGTTTGACTTGATTTGGTGTTGAAAAAAGACCCGACTATATTTAAGTTGATTTGGTTTCAGCTTAGAAAACCAATCCGATGTCAAATCATCCCAACTCGACATTATATATTTAATCTTAAAATTTTATTTTATAAGTAAAAATATTTACTTTAATATAATTTTTAGGGATAATGCACAAGTACTCTTTCAACCTATGTCTGAAATCTCAGAGACACACTTATACTATATTAAGGACCTTAGTATAGTATAATTGTGTCTTTGATTTTGGGCATAGGTTGAGGAGGTATTTGTGCATTTTTCCTAATTTTTAAATATCTCCTATATTTTTTTCATAGTTTTTATCTTTTAATATATTTATTTCATGTTTAGAAGTTTGAATTCTTAATGATCTAATAAAGATTATAGTCGATACATGTTGGTAATTATAATAAAGTTTAAATAAAAATCAAATTAATACTAATGCAAAAAGAAAATCAATTCAACACTAAGAATGACAATAATATTGAATATTTGTTTTTTAGTTTTACATAGATTTAAACAATTAAAATACATGATCTAATTTTACTTTCTTTTAATATTTAGTCATGTAACTAATACTTACTGAACTTATTTAAGCATAATTTAGTACTTTAAATTATGATCAATTTCATTAATGACTTATTAATTTGCAATAGTTGTTTTACGCAATTTTATTATTATTTTTTTGGTGGATATTTTAGTGTGATTAATCATATTATAATTTTTGTTATTTTCTTGAGAAATATTTTAGATAGTTGTATTTTGGTAGAACTAAAGAAATATTTGAAGTACAAGTAAATTATATGTTTGTGTGAATACTTTATGGAAAATCCCGAAAATCCAATAATAATTATGTATGACCTCAAGGCACCACCACCCTCTCGAGGCGCCGTGCCCTGAGGCCCCCCACCCCTTCAGACCTTACGACACCTTGCCCCAAGGCCCTTTAACTTCCTGAACCTTGAGGCGCCGTGCCTTGAAGCCCCGTCACACCTTCGTACCTTGAGGTGCCATTTCCTAAGGCCCTTCCACCCCCCGGACCTCGAGGGACCATGGCCCGAAGCCTTCTTCCCACCCCCAAGACCTCGAGGCGTTGTGCCTCGATGACTACTCCCCCACTCATAAGACCTTGAGGCTCTATACCTCGAGGCCTTCTCCCCACCCCCGAAGACTTGGAGGCGCCGTACCACGAGGCCCTTACCTTGGACCTCGAGGCACCTTTCCCCAAGGCCCCACCCTTACCCCCAGACCTTGATGCGTCGTGCCCCGAGGCCCCACACTCTAAACCTCGAGGCGTCGTTCTCTTAGGACCTACCCTTACCCGCTTGAACATTAAGGCTCTGTGCCGTAGGACCATCCATCTCCCCACTCCTGGACCTCGAGGTTCACGCCCACCCCTGGGACCTCGAAGCGCTATGCCCCGATGCCTTTTATCCCCCACCCTCAGACCTCGAGGTGACATGCCCTAAGGCCCCCCTCTCCACTCCTTGGACCTCGAGGCGTCGTGACCCCAGGCCCTCCCGCACCCCCTAGACCTTGTGGTGCTGTTCCCCAACACCCTCCCCACCCTAGACCTCAAAGTGTCGTGCCCCAAAGGCCCTCCTCTCACTTCCTAGACCTCGAGGCGTCGTGCCCCAAGGTCCTTCCCCCACCCCTGGACCTCGAAGTACCTTTCCCTCATGCCCTTTCCTACCCAAGACGTTGAGGCGTCGTGCCCCAAAACCCTCCCCCACCCCAGACCACGAGGCGCCGTGCCACGAGGTCCTTCCCTCACCCCCGAACTTTTAGGCATCGTGCCCGAGGCCCTTCCTCCACTCCCGGACCTCGAGGAACCCTACCTGGATGCCCCACCCCACCCCAGGACCTTGAGGTGTCGTGCCGGGAGGCCCTAACCCACCTTCCGGACCTCGAGGCGCCGTGCCCTGAGGCCCTACCCCCACCCCACCCAGACCTCGAGGCGTCATGCCCGAAGGCCCTACCCCACCCCGAACCTCGAGGCGCCGTGCTCCAAGGACTCATCCCCATCCCCCTAACCTTGAGGTATCGTTCCCAAAGGCCTACCCACACCACCTAGACCTCAAAACGCCGTGCTCCAAGGCCTCTCCTCACCCCAGGATTTCGAAAAAGCAGCCCCAAATGAATTTATATTACTTTTCATGAAAATAAAGAGATAATAATAGTTCAACAATTTTGGTTAATCTGTTTTATAAAAAATATATAAATTTAATATAATGTGCGACTTCTACGATCTAGTTTGTGAAATTATTATTGAAAAAGGATACAAATGTCACTATTAATGAAAATAAAGATATAATTATAGTTCAATATATATGATCTATTTTATAAAATATATAAATTCAGAATTTCATGTAACTACTATAATCTTTGCTACAATTTCTATCCTTTGGTGAGAACCTTGCGCACATTGAAAAATTCCCATTATGTAATAGCCTCTAAACCACACAATAAATATAATCATACTGGACAAGTCATATGCGACAAACTCAACTCAGTAATCATTAAATATAAATGTGTAATATACATAATTATTATATTAGTTTTATATATTTTAACTAGTGCCGACAATTAACTTTGGCCGGATGAACATAAACCATAGAATCTCAATAAATAGAATCTGTTGTTGTTAAGAGTTTGTCATATTTCTCTCTTTCTTTCGGCGTCACTATTATTGTAGGATAAACATTCTCCTTATTAAATATTTCTAAAAGGTTTTGTCTTTTAATTTTTGTAAACAACAATAGTACTTTCATTTTCTATCTAAAAGAAAAAGATAGACCCAACTTTATGCAATAAAGCTATTTGTCATATTCTACCACTTTGTCAGTCAAATTTTGCATTCAAATAGGGGAGGAAGATTCTAGAGTTGTGGAGAGGCTTATGGAGAACTTTAGAACCACATATATATTTTCAAGAACACTATAGAATTCTCTAGAACATGTAGAGAATTCTAGAATGTGGACCAAAGTGTAAATATAGAGGGACTTGTATGGTAAATATTATTTACAGAAAGGCTCCTAGGAAGTAGTATAAATAGAAGATTTCCCATTTGAAAAATCATGACTCAAGTTGTAAGCAATCTTCCAAACAATACAAAACCTTCTTATAAGGCTCTATTATTTTTCTTTTCATTCTTTTAGCAATCTTAAGTACAAAGAGCTCAACACGTTGAAAGATTAGTGAGTAAATTGTCGAGTCCCCCCCCGCCCCCCGGACCTCGAGGCGCGGTGTCCTCCTATGCCCTCGGACCTCGAGGCCTCCCCTACCCCGAAGGAAGTAAGCAACCTTCTTTTAGTAATGAAGGAGAAATTTAATACAACTAATTCTTAGACTTGGAATCTAATCCCAATCTTTTAGTAATTACGAGTCATAACATAACAACCATATACTATAATTTTGTATAACTAGTGTGTGAAGAAATTAGATCTTGATGGTTGCTGTTCCATACTACAATCCCTTAAGAACTGAGTAATTTAAAGTTCATTTTTTCGTAATAAGTAAGTTAACAATAATAGAAGACCATATTATTTTTTCAAGAAATTCAAGTTTTCAAAGTTGTACCATATTATTTTTTCAAGAAATTCAAGTTTTCAAAGTTGTAGTGTGAAAGAGGACAAAGAAAAGAAGGATATTAACAGAGAAACTCAAAAATGAGTAAAGAAATTGAGTCAATCGAGTACATATCTAACAGGAGGAAATTTGATCCTCTTGGTGCTGGAATTTGCGCGTCGGACGAGAAAAACAGAATCAGTCTGTTAGGGTTGGAATGAAGACATCGGTCTTTTTGATTTTTTACAATCTTATCTTATTTTTTAAAGGAAAAATTACGCAACAAAGCAAACTTATGCTATTTAATTACTAATCATAGCTATAGTTTGCTATAATTACCATTCGCGACAAACATTGTATATTAATTATGTAGGTTGACTTCGAGCTTGTATAATTAATCACATTTGTATGTGTATAATTCACCAGAATATACAAATGCATATGCATAATATATAACATATATACATATACAATTCACCTCTCTCCCACTCTCTTTCAAGCCTCTCTCCTCCCTCTCCCAATCTCGCTTGCCCTATATACAAATGTATATGAATAATGTACAATTATATACATATACAATTTACTTCTCTCCCACTCTCTGCCCTCTCTCGCTCTCTTTCTCCTCCCTCTCTCAATCTCGCTCGTCTTTCCTCCCTCTCCGCTCTCGCTTTTCATATATACAAATTCATATGTATAATATACATTTATTTAACCGATATACATATACATTTCACTTTCTCCCTTTCTTTTCCCCCTATCTCTCGCCTTTTTCCTCTCTCTCTCAGTCTTGCTCGAATCTCTCCTCCATGTAACATATAACTACGAGTTGTAATTATGAAACTATAGTTATGGAGAGTAATTAAGTTATTTTTGAATGGCTATATGTGAAAGTTTTCCTTTTTTAAATGGTTAATTGCATTATACAATTTGAAACATAGTCAAAATGAGTTAATTAATGAATTTACCAAAGATTTAAATAACACGAGTGTTTTAATCATAACAAAATAAAATAATTAATCTAATTATAAATTAAATAACTCAAATAAGCTATTATTCAAACTAAACTAATTAACAAGATATTTAATTAACTCTTACCGTATCAATTCAATACTATCTTTATTTTTATAATAAGTTAGAGGAAATTTGTCTCCAAACAAACATTTCTATAATGTTAGAGAAGATACACCAAAGTTAAAATATTGATCAGACCACGAAACAATGGTTAAAATTGAGATCATTTAAATTTAATGAATTTCTTAGCGCGGGACATTGTAACAACAATAATAAAATTATAACAACAATAATAAAATTATAACAACAATAAATTTAATATAGTTTTATGAGAGGAATTCAAAAAAGGTAGACCATCAACTCAAAATAATAACAAATAGCAAGATACAAAGTAAATGAAACAACAAATAATAAGTAATTATAAGAAGCTACACGGGTACTAAATAGTAAATACTACTACTAATAAGGAGGAGAGGGGATGAGACTAATCATGGGTGGAGCCACGTAGGTTTCAGGGTGTCCAATTGGACACCTTTTATCGTAAAGTTTTGACTTAATATTAATATATAGAGAATTTGACCCCCTAAAATTACTAAGTAAATGTGCAGTGTAGTTGCACTACCCTGTTTGATTCCCCGCAGGGATGTTTTCTTTTTTTCTGTAATTATTTTGGCATCAGACCCAAGATCAATTTAAAATTGAATTATTTGTATAAAATTTCCTTAAATCTAATAATATTTCCTCGCGGATTTTTTTCAATTAAAATAATTTTTGATACCTTTTCTAGTAAAATAAGATCTCCTTAAATTTTAGTACTTTTTACTTATGGAATAAGTTTTGCTTTGCTTTTATCAGTTGCTACCGCGACCATTAAAAGAACTTCCTAAGCAATGGAGTATATTAAAAATGAACTTGCGAAATTGAATAAATGATGAATTTTTAAATGATTGTATAGTGTCTTATGTAGAAAAGAAAGTACTATTTCTAATGAGTCTATGAAAATGTTTCAGGACATATAACCTCATGGATTATAATTATAGTAGTATATTTAAATTATTTTTTCAATCGTATTTTATTTTCTTTATGTTAGTTTTGAACTAATTAAAATAAGTTAAAAATTGCTCAACTTGATTATTTGTTTTGGTGATTCAAATTTCGTTTTTTTTGAAAACAAAATTACTAGAAAAAGTTTGGACACCTTCAGTAACTGACCCTGGGCGTCTCTCACATGAAGATGATGCAAACATTCTTACTTTGTACCAAGTTACTATACGGAGCAACAAGTACCAAGTTTTCATTATGTACAACTAATAGAATGGGTTTTACATAAACACGGCCATTACGCTAACAGCCACAATAAACTAAAAGTCAGTGTAGCTCCCAACTCACCAACGAATGGTATGTACATACATCCACCCAAATATAAAAGCAAGAAGAGAAGATCATACTACCAAAACTATAGCTGCTCTTTATTCTGCCCAAATGAAGCAGATGCAAACAGCTTGCACCGCCGCCGTCAATGGCTCCCTTTGTTGTCTAACCAGCTCTGCAAGCTATACAAGGCTTCTGCAGAGAAGCTGCAGCTCCTTAATCTCCTTTGACGCATTGGTGATAGCTCTTGATGATCAGGGGAAGTAAAGCATACAACAATTACTGTGAGATTGTCAAATGTATTCAGCCGCAACGCCTCCATGACAAGGTCCTTGGCACACTGTTCAGGATCATCATGCCGTCTTAGACCTCGACGCACTAGGCTAACTGCTTGTTGACTAGACAAGACATCCCAGATTCCATCACAAGCAATAATAAGGAATTCATCCTCCTCTGTCAGAACTATTTGTCGAAATTCTGGCTCAGCAATCAGAGGAGACGCAGAGCCACGAGGCAGCTTCATGTCCCAGTCCCCCAAGGCCCTGGTCACTGATAGTATACCATTCAGATAGCCATCATCAATAAATCCACCTAACTCTTCAACACGCCTCCTCTCCGATGGATAATTTGGTCTATGGTCTTGAGACATGTCAATTGCCTCTCCGTTACGGCAAAGGACTGCTCGGCAGTCTCCTGCATTTGCCACCATTAATAGCCTAAAAACACAACAGAGAAACATTTAGATAACAAGAATACAAATACATACGCAAGGCTAAGCAATTGTTCCATTGAACAACCAGGTCAACTCTAATGCTCACTCCCTCAGCAACTTCGTTGTAAAATCAATATTTATGGTACAATACTTGGTGAAACAAAGTCTAGCAAATACATATTCACAGACCATTTATACTATCTCATATTTCAAGCAGTATCCTTAGGTGATGTACTTGAATGCAACATAGCAATGCGTGTCAGTACACCATAACCATTTTTCTACAGGACGGAGAAGTCGTTACTTGTTAATAGGTGCATCACACTGAATCACGATCTTACCTTCCCAACACAAGAGCTGTCAGGGCAGTGGTTCCAGAAGAACTGCTAACATTGCAGTCATCAGCTAAAGCGAGGTCAGCCAGAAGAAACCCCTTCCTAAGAGAACTCTCCACCCCTTCTAGAAATGCATCATCAACTTCTGAAGTCTCTGGAAAATTGGTGTCTGAAAATAACAATCTGAGTACATTTTTTCTCACATGAGCTGCAGCTTCCGGTCCTCCATGACCATCAAATACCTATGAAACTAAATGTTAGACAAGCTCTGCCTTTGAAAATGCTCAGGGACGAATAAGACACCTGCAAATAATTAGCAGTTACCCCATAGAAAGCACTGGGCTTCGGAAATTTCATGAGTGAGCCAAGATGTGCAGATAGATCATCTATCCTTATATGTTCATCTTCCATGAACCTACGTGGGCCAGTATCAGCAAAGCTACCTGAGCGAATGCTAGGAATGAATTGCAATATTGTCGACTCTGGTGATTTGACATCCTGAAAAAAGGGTCCGTCAGACTAATCTTACGCACAACCGAGAAAAAGAAAAACTGATACTAACTAGAATTAATCATTTTGGCAGGGGAGAGTTATATTGAGCAAAAGGCACATCGGCTGAATATACCAAATTTTAAAAAAACAAAATCCCCAAATGAAGGAAGGGTTTGCACATGAATTTTCACGTTGTCAAGTTAGTAAATTAGATAAAAGACAAGTCAACACAAGTGAGAGGTGACTGAGCAAATATCTAGCACGATTTATCAGGTTAACTACTTCTAATGATAAAATTTCAATAATATGTTTCATCCCAAACATCTGAATTCTCAAACTCTTTTAAGTGTTCACCAGTTTGTCAATCTAGACAGAAGCTTAAAATGTCTTAGCATGAGCATTAACCAAACATCAAAAAGGAACTTAAAAGTTAAACGGTTACAAATTTAAGAAAATACCTCAGTTCTCATGAAGTTCTCTGATTTGTTTAGAACCATCAGCTCTAATTGCCAGTATCCAGGTGGTGTGACTTAACCATGGATAACCTTTTGTTTTGTTGAAACAGAACAAATTTGGATGTCCCTGCTTAGGTTGGTATGCTATGTCATTTGCTAAAGGTAGGATTATTAAGATCCTTCATCTATGTACTTAAAGTATCTTTGATTCAATTAATAGTTTTTCTCAAGTTATAGATAATTTATATGGATTAGAGTACTATAATTACTAAGAAAACATAATTGGAATCTCATTTTCTCTTAGTTAACTTTATTACTCAAACACCTTTTTTTCCATCAAGTTTCCTAATTTGTTTACAACCATCACCTCTAATTGCCATAATTATTGATAACTTTCCTGTTCATGGAAACGGAACAAATTTGGATGTCCCTGCTTAGCTTGGTGTGCTACGTCATTTGCTATGGTACGCTTATTAAGATCATTCATCTATATACATCTACTTAATCATTGATAACTTTTCGGTTCATGGAAACGGAACAAATTAGGATGTCCCTTCTTAGCTTGGTATGCTACGTCATTTGCTAAGGTAGGCTTATTAAGATCATTCATCTACATACTTAAAATATCTTTGATTAAATTAATAGTTTTTTTCTAAAGTTACAGATGATTTTAATGGATTATAGTAGTACAATTACTAAGAAAACATAATTGGAATATCATTTCCCTTAGTTAGCTTGGTTAAAGACTTGCTATTAACAGCTTATTTAGATTTATTCTTTGAAGGAGAACAGTGAAGTAATGTAACTCATTATCCCCCCAGTTCCTCACCCCCGAACAAAAGAGAAAGAAGAATCTGTCCTCCTCCTTGCCCTGCCTTTCAAACCCCTCTGACATCCTCTTTATTCAAACAGCAACATGCCAGAAAAGTCAAGCTACCAAGTTATCACAACTCGCATTAGAAAAGAAGAAGAGTTGGTTTATTTAGTTGGGAGGACTCGACCAATTCTTAACTATTAAGACTACCTTAGCAAATGCTATAAATAGTATATTGAAAAAGCCAATTAAGCTCTACATTTCCAGACAACATTGGTCAATTGGTCATTTTCCATCAGTAAACAATTTCAACATGGCTGATTACCCACATGCACCTACCGATTCATTCTAATTCGAAATATAAATGTGGATGCATCTTCATTGACCACCAAGAGATACTTAACACTGTTGGTGTGATGGGATCCTCCGGAATTTTCATGTGGAATATTTTTGCCTGAGCATCATAATTACATTATTCGCTAAATTAGCAATAGCCGTTAACTATAAAACCATCAACATTAACATAAGAAACTTAACAGCTTAAAGGAATTTGTTGTGGAAGGAGATAAGAAACATGCCAGCTAAATCAAGCTACCACTTGAGCACAACCCGCATCAGACAAGAAACACAGTAAGCTTATTTAGTTCGGAGGCTCAACTAGTTCTCAATCCGCCTCAGCAACTAAAAGCTATTATCCCTTATCCGTACTTTCTGAAAGTTGATTAAGCTCTGTTTTCCAGGTTTACATTGGCCGGTGTCTTTTTCCAACACACATTAAACACTTCCGATGTGGCTGGCTAACCATATGCAACTAGAGTGTCATTGTAAATGTGAAAGTGGATTCATTTTCTCTGACCGCCAAGAGATAATTTTACACTGTTTGTGTAAATGGGGTCATGCTTACATTACTATCTATACTTAAGAATAGCCATTAACTATAAACCCTCGAGCTTATCTCATTTTCTTGACTCGTTTATGTCAAGAAATATACGAGGTAAATAAAAGGACCTTAAACCACTTCCTTTAAATGGATGCCCATCATGGCCCCTACTCTGATTACCATAGAACTCTCAAGCTCAACAAAAAGCACTCACAAAAATTTCCTTATACATACTAGTTCTCTCTTCAGACACCTAAAACCTTTTCTGTGCATGTAATGATACTTGTCCAATACTTATGAACTCATACAGTTGATCATAATTGTCGAGACTCAAAATTTGATAACACCCATAGCTTCAAACAAACACAGAGTCATAAGCAAATACATTCAAAAGGTCATGCTTAGAACATCAGTCCGTTACTCCATTATAATATCCACTGTAATGCAGAAAAATAAGCTTATATAAGTTGTTGAAACCCTAAAATTCATATCTATGATTGATTAGATTTATGGCAAAAAGATACAACATAAGCTAATATACTCAAGCTTTTAAAGGGGATCATCCTTTTAAGCTCAAAAATGAAATCAAGATCCAACACACCATTGAACAAATACATCAATTCCTTAATCTTCCAAAGACAAGAAGGGACCTGAAGATACTAAAACACAAAACATCAAGATCCATAGAAACAAACAACCCCATAAAACAATTCAATCAAACAATCAACTACATCTCAATCCAAAGCCTTTCTTCAAAGAAAGGGCAACTAATAAACAAAACAAAAAAAAAATAACAAGCTACAGGGGAAAAAATGACTTACCAAATCAGAACAACAGGGGACATCCAACACAGGGATGGTATGTTGAAGTTGAACCATAACCTCAGCTTCAGCTCCCATTTTTAGCAAAATCTAAACAAAAAAACTGGAAATTGAGCGATGGAAACTGAAAATACTTCGTTATTCTTTGATGGGTGTGTGTAAAGATTCGATCTTTTTGTGCAAAGAACAAGATTCTAGGACTTTCTTGAGAATTCAATAAAGACAGAAGCAAAACAAAAATCTTGATAAGCTGGATTTCAACTGCTGTTTATAGAAAAATTCTGCGTGTGAGAAACAGCTGTAAAAAAGTCGTGGGGACGGTGGACGCGTGTACTGTCTATAATCCAAAATGGTTTTTCTTCAAATCCTAATGAACCTTCGATGAGAATTAAGGGGTAGGTTTCATCTTTTTGGAGATATTTATCATTTTTTATTTTCTTTTTGAAAAAAATAATAAGTTAAATTTAGTAATTGAACCTACAAAAATAGTATGCTATAATTATATACAATTTTTACTTTTATTAGTGACAAAATAAACGAGAGGTAATGTTTTCTTTCGAATTTTACATTTTCATTTATTAAAATAGTATTTTATGTGTAATTTTTTTTTATTTTTCTTCTCTCTTTATTTTTTATATTTAATCGAACAAAAATAAGTCGATACGATTGAAATTGAAAAAATATTTTAATGATGATATACATGACCTTCAAGAAGAATTAGATGAGAGATGGAGCAAAAAAATTTAGGGCTAAAAACATTCCTACAATACTTATAATATATATACATATTTTCAGAAATGTTATGGTCAATTTTTTTTCCTTTTATACATATCGTCAAATTAAATATAATTTCTATTTTTTTTCTTTTTAAAAGGGGAAAATGATCTAAATAATAGTTTAATTTTGTCCGAAATTATTGTTTTGTTATCAATCTTTATGTAGAACCTTTTATTGATATACTATTTAAAAGTGTATATGAAGGTATATATATGTCCACATGGACACATAATTATGCAATATTTTTTTATCCACATAGGCACATAATTATCTTTAAAAAATACACTATTAAATAGTGAAGGGTAAAATATCTTTTTCAAAGTTTAATATCATTACAGTAATTTCAATCAAAATTCATATATATTTCTGATCTTTGAAAACTTCCTTTGGAATTTTATATCTTTTATTTATTAAATTAAATTAAATGAAACATGCATTAGAAGGGAAAATTAGTACGATTACAATTATTTCAATTAATATTAACTAATTTAAAAGTCTTTTTGCTAAAAAAGAAGTCAAAATAAAAGAGGGTAAATGTATATAAATTCTTTGAATTCCTAAAATCCAAAGTATATAAATTCTTTGGATTCCTAAAATCCAAAAATCTGAAATTTCAAATAAAAAATCCAACAAGAAAAGATAAAATTTGAAATCCAAAAATTCAGACCAATATTCTAAAAATATACTATCTTTGTTGATTTTTACTTGTTCATTATTAAAAATATATATTTTTTCTATTTTTACTTATTTACTATGACAAAAATATATATTCATTAATCATTATACTAAAAATTATATTTTTTCTTTTCATTAATTATTATACTAAAAATTATATTTTTTTCTTTTCTAATTATCTATTATAATAAAAAAAATTCACTTTTACTTATCACTTAAGCACATCAAGATAATTTATTTATTCATATTTTATCCTTTATATTAATATATATACATATTTTTCCAATCACTTTTCGAACTTTAAAACTTATAATAAATATTTTTTTTTGCTTTTATTAGTTACTTTAGCATATTAAGAGAATTTTCTTTTTCATATTTTATCTTTTATACTAATTACTTATTTTTTCAAATTGGTTTTGTTATTATTATTATGATAAAATATTTAACACTTATTAAATCATTATCTTTAAAAAACTTATATTAAATAAACAAGTAAAAATATTTTTTTTTCTAAAAATAAATTTCAATTCCCAATCATGCTCCTGCACAGGAAAAATGGAAGCTTCGGATGCTGGACGTTTGAATATTTGTTTACCCGCTTTGTTTGACTTTTCAACTTATTCATATTTGGTCAAAGCAATTTGTCACTTTGGTGTATTTATTAGTGATGACGATAGAAAAAATATATTGTATAGAGTGGTTATATTAAATTAATATAATTTTATTATAAATAAAATAAATTATAAATTTAAATATATGATAAGTATGTATTGATCGATATAAACGCCTAATAAGTTTTATCCTTAAAATGGTTTTAAAATGGTTCAACCGTCCAAGAGATCACTAGTCACTCTTTACTCTTTTTCGTTTTAAAATATTTTTATATTTTGCTTTTTGAAAATTAAAATAAGTAACTTTTATAATTAAATTAAATCAAATTAGTTTAATATAACATAGGGAAATACACTTTTTAAAATTAAATAGTAGATATTTAAAACACAAATTTCATAGTGTTATGAATTAATTACATCTTATTTTTAGTAGAATTATGAAAAATATTTTCCTTAATATTGAAAGAAAAGTCTTTTTTTCTTAAATTTAAGGAAATTAAGTTAATTTGAAAAATATTTTCCTAACTTGAAAAAATTGGAAAAAAATATTTTCCTCCATACCAACCATACCCTAAAAGTAAAGAACATTGGCTATTTTTTTTAATTAGCTGGTCATTCACTTCAAAATTCAAAGTGACGTGTTTAAACAAAAAATAAAATAAATAAAGGCAAGTTGCTTAAGCTCTAGCAACAAACTTAATAAATAAATAAATTCTAAAATACATGCTCAAAGACTAGCGACTTTATAAAATAATTCAAAGACTTAAGTTATCGACAACCTCTTAAAGTTATCCACAAATTCATGATATAAATGAATTTTGCGAATAATTTTAAAGGATCGTAGATGACTTAAGGAATCATAGAAATCTCTATACTTTTCATTTCTGTGAGAATTTTTCTTCAACTTTCAAGTTGTTTTTATTATATTTTAGATGAGTGGTGACTCTGGGATATCTATATACCCTGAAGAAGACAACATTTTCTGCTGTAAAGGGACAATAACTGGCAGCAAAGATACACTTTCTGAAGATACAAACAAGATCTCTCTTCTATTTCCTGCTGATTACCCTTTTAAGGAATTTCTAATTAAAGTTTGGAATTAAGCTTAGTTGTTTCATATAACTTTGTTTTTTTTGGGATAAAACAATTCATATTATTTTAGTTGATGACTTGGTTTAGAGAAATGGATATAGGTCTTGATGTACTCTAGTGTATCTTGTTTCTGATTTAGCATTTATGATGATACAAGCCTGTTCTCTCTCCACTTTTTATTCCTTTCATGTCCTTCTTCAGAAAAAGTAAGAAAAACCTTTACTGTCGTCTAGAGAATGGGGTAGTCCCATTGTTGTAGTTGATGTAAGTAATTATACTGTATTTTATTATGATGATACTATGGACAAGTAAGTTTGTGTTCACAAATTACAAGTGGTTAAGTAGCTTGCACATTGATGGAAGGAGTATAACAGGAAAGATTAAAAGCATCGGGTTAGTATGGGACAAGATTTCATAGCCAATGTTCGTGGTGGATGTGGACAAGAAGATAGAATACTTTTGGCATTTTGCTTTGTAAAATGTAATTGTGTATATTCAGCAAAGGCAGTAAAAGTTCATCAATGATGTAAATGAGCTTAGCTTTGTGTCATTGTCTCACCTTGTGAGACTCATTTTTGAAATGTCCCTCTCTGTCTTTTCTCCTTTGTTTTTTCAAATAAGACGCATGGAAGAATATTAATCATGTCGTCAGTATGTAAATAATAACAGTTGCAATTCATTTTCTTGATATGACATTTTGCTTTGTAAAATGTAATTGTGCATATTCACGCAAAGGCAGTAATAGTTCATCAATGATGTAAATGAGCTAGCTTCGTGTCATTGCCTCACCTTATGAGACTCATTTTTGAAAGGCTAAGTTCTACTGTCTCTCTCTGTCCTTTCTCCTTTGATTTTTCGAACAAGATGCATGGAAGAATATTAACAATATTGTCAGTATGTGAATAACAACAGTTGCAATTCATTTTCTTGATGTGGCATTTTGGTTTGTAAAATGTAATTGTGTATATTCACGCGAAGACAGTAACAGTTTATCAATGATGTAAATGCGCCTAGCTTCGTGTCATCGCCTCACCTTGTGAAACTCATTTTTGAAAGGCTAAATTCTGGTGTTCCTCTCAATCCCTTCTCCTTTGATTTTTCGAACAACATGGAAGAATATTAATCACGTTGTCAGTGTGTGAATAACAACAGTTGTAATTCATTTTCTTGATATGGGTTTTTGATTTGTTTGTGTATTAGATCATTTAAGTCTTTTCTTGAAACATGGATTATGGATTCTTTGATCAGGAGGGGCTTTGAGATGGTTTTATTTGGGGGGAGGGAGGGAAGGCCTCAGGGCAGTGCGCCTCTAGTCCTCGGGGAGGGAGGGAGGGGGGGAGAGAGGGAAGGCCTCGGGGCAGTGCGCCTCTACGCCTCGGGGAGGGGGTTGGGGAGGAGGAGGGAGGGAAGGCCTCGGGGTAGTGCGCCTCTGGGCCTCGGGGAAGGGGGATTGGCG